ATGCTGCTCCCTCCGAGTTGCTGTTACAACTTTAGGTATTACTGTCCTCTGCAAAACCGTTGTAGAACAGAGTATGTGACTAGTTACCACAGGCTACAGACCTGATCTTCAAGTACCAAGGCACCTGCAGCTCTTGTCAGTGCTATTTTTTCAGGCTAGAAAACTCAATTTTAGATAGGATCAAGGGGAAGGAAGCTCACAAAAACTTGGTGTTAATGAATGCTGAAAAATCAGAGCCTTATTTTTCTGCAAACTTTTGCCTGTTTGGTTAATGCTGTTTCAGCCTGCGTGTGGTACCTATGTTTTATCTGTGTGGTGTTATTTTCCCATTAGAGGTACTTTCTCTGAATTCTGAATCTTTCAGGTTATTGGATATACGTACTCTGTTTTTTGGAGGGTATACAAATAAAAAGGTTCTTGATTCCCCTTTTTACTGCAAAAAGCATTTCTAAAAGTGCTTTGCTCACACCTAGCGAGTCCGATTCCAGTGTTTCCTGCACTTGTACAGAAACACAGCCTTTTTACTGACGCTTCCTTAGCACATTTGGAGGCTGAAAGATTACAAGTTCTCCTATCTAGCTATTAAAGCTTATCTTTTTATGTTTTCTTATTATTGTTATAATTATGTTGACGCTCTTCCTAATGAGCCCTAGAATGACATTTTATAATTATGATGAAATCTTGTACATGGAAGCATTTGTTTGTGACCAGTCTCTGGAGGACAGATGTTCTGACACTGCCCCATCAGTGCACTCATTACCATGCTGCACATTGTATTTCTGCAATGTGACAGTTAGGAGGGAGCCTATGCAGCGCCCTCTCGATTTGTAGCAGAGGAGAGAGATCATTCAATAGATGATCAAAGTGCTAATTAGTCTGTGGGAAGAATGATCAATACCTGGGGAAAAAATAGTGCAGGAGCAATGGAGTGTGGGCTTGGAAAGTAACATCTTGTGTGTCTTGTAGCTGATGCTTGAGGTTATAATGCCACTTAAAGATGCTAGCTGCAGGCATGTCTTTGAAAATGTATGTGTAGCAAATGGAAATCCAACATAATCTGGAAGTAACCAGCTAAATGGAGAATTACGAGGAAACCCACCACTCTCACCAGATGTCAGACCTCTCTTTATAAAGTGCTGTAAAATATTGGCGTGTCCTAATGGCCAGAAAATGGGACCTCTTCCAGCGCAACCTTGCCAGCAGGGCTTTCTTCACCTGGGGGATGAGTTTCAGAGCACAGTTGTAAGAGTGAGGTGTAAAGATGGGCACACCACCTTCGGGGAAGGGATGTGGAGGAGCCAGCAAGGCTCTTGGGCTCTTTAGGTGGAAGTTCTGGTTTGAACTTGGTACCCACTGGCAACCAGTGCTGGCTGAAGGCAATGGAGAAGTATGCTGGGGCAGGGGGTGTGTGTTTACTACACGGCCAGCTGCATTAGTGGTTGGTTTCCAGATGGTTTAAGAGTTATTAATCCAAAATTAGTGTGTGTTTTTTTTTTTTTAATAAATCCATAATTTATTAGTTTTAAACAATTAGAACCATTATTTGCTCTTAATTATCCTAGAAGTTTAAATGCCGATGGTAAAACGTGCAGTAGAAGACTGAAGAGCTGTGAGCCAAGTGCAAGGATTGCAGTGTGATCCTGCCAGTGCTTGTCTGCAAACGGGGGGCAGTGAGGTCCCCAGCCTGCAAACAGGGATTATCACAGGGGAAAGTCTTCACCAGATTTCCAAACCTCCTGTCAGGGTTGGTCCTTGCTTGGCCACCACTTTACCCTTACTGATGCTCTGATCTCTGCTGCTGCAGGGGGGGTGTACCTCTGAATTTGCCAAAACGACAGATCTAAACTTTCAGAAAGTTGACATTCAGAAAGGAGCTGAAGGAAACTCAGCAGGATTTGTTACTGAATTCTAAATTATTTGTGAAGTATGAAGGGCTGATTTCAGTGGAATGTAACATGAAACAGAAAGTCTAACCTGTCCATCAGCATGCTAACCACCCAGAAGACACATCTGCATTACTGTTGGCACAAAATCTGCCCTTCCCAAATAATTTTAGAAAAGTAAAGCTTACACAAATGTTGTTATTCATTGCTCCCATTTTTCAGGGTTTAAAAAAATGGATTTCAGGAAACAAGGATTCAAAAAGGCAGATGAGCTACAGGGTGGTTATAAACTTTTCATCTTCGGGGGGAAAAAATGACCCCAAACTTGCATTTTTGCTTATTTTCTCTCTGGGGCACAGTAACCCTTCTGTCAACAGCTAGTTTCAGCTCCAACCCAGCCTGGCAGCCTGAGCATGGCTGGGGCGGGGTAATTATGCCAGCTCAACAAATCATACAGGCTGACAACTTAGAATGAGGAAAGCTTCAGGATCATAGGCTGTAAAATCAGAGGGAACTTCTAAAGTTACACCATTTGGTGCACCCTAAGGACAGTATTACAATGAATTTTCTACTGTGGAAAAAGTCAGTTGACTACAAGCAGAAAAGTAAGTAGTGGGGAACAGGATTTGAAAGAGAGGATCAAAAATGCTCTTGGCCACAAAACGCTTTTAACCTTGGAAAGTATAGAAACAGTTAAAGAGAGAATGTTTATTTTAACCATTGTTTTCAGAGAAGATCTGTAATGGACTTACCAATCAGAACAAGCTGGCAAGGCACTTTCACTGAGCTTTTTCCATATGTGGCCTTCCCAAAGTGTGATTAATTTTTTTTTTTTTTTTCTTGCAAATGGAGCTTGCACATTTAGTTATAACAAGCAAAATGCTAGAGAGATTCCTGAAGTAATGTTGTCCTGGCTGCAGCGCACATGTTAGCAGGAATTTCTTCTCCTGTTTTTCTTGTTATGCACGTAACTCGATATGTTACTTTTTAGGTTCTTGAATATATGCCATAATCTACTCGGGCTGCCCCATGTGGCTGAGTTCAAGGTTGTTCTGGGATCTCTGGCTTTCTTGGCAGAGCCTGCTGCATTTCGGGACCTCAGAGCAGAGCTCTTCGGGCTGTGGAGATGGGGGTGAATGCTGGCTGGGCGGCGCTACAGGCGGACTCACCTGCGGAACAGGCTGGGTCACGGCAACAGAGTCAGGGTATTTGAGGGTTTATGGGCTTTTGGATGAACGCTGAGAAAGAAGAGGTTGCTCTGGTGTTTGTAGAGAAGGAAATACAGTGATGCCCCCGTGAGACCAGTTTCAATACTGCAAATGATTTTACACCGGAGCAAATACTGCAGAAACGTGGTCTGTAGTTCTCAGAATGAGGCGGCTGTGTGAAAGCTCTGGGGCTGTGGCCCTGCTGGCCATGGAAAGCAGCATTTTCCTCGTTCGAGGCAATGCAAAAAGCCCTTGGTAACCGGTTTTGGTCAGACTGGGATGCGGTGCTGAGCTCAGACTCTCACCAGGTGGGAGCTGTTCGTGGCCCTTTTATTTGCGAAAGGGCCTGAACCCAGGCAAGGCGATCCCCAGGAAACCGCGGAGCAATTCACAGAGCCAGTGGCTGAACAGGCAGGTGAGATGCGAGGCCAGAAGCAGCAAGTCCGTGTGATGTGAATTCCAGTACAGTTTGTTTTGGGATTTTCTTAGTTGAAAGACAAAAGTTGACCCTCCCAACATGGTGTAACAGCATAAAGGACAGATTTATTAAACATCACTGGAGGCTGTACTTCTAACTGCTTTGAAAATACTTGTGGACAAACACACTTTTTTCCTGTTACTGACATGAAAATTTTGATACTTTAAAAATATGAGATATTATATATTAAAATACATTCTATAGTGCAGAGACCGAGAATCTGTAATCTCTATGCTCATCCTGATGTGCACATTCCTGTGTTAAAAATCCCCTTCTCTGCTGAAAAAATTAGGGCTCTTGTATCAGGCGTTTCCTCAGGTACTTGCTCATTCATGTTTTTTCCTATTTTTTCAATCCTTTTAGTGACACCTAGTGAAATTTGTGGAAAGTGCAGCTTCAGTATTTATAAGAACTGAAGCAACTGCAGTAGCACACATTGCACAATAAAATGCTGAAGTACTGCATCTTATTTCATTTATTGCCACAGTCTTTGAAGAATGATACCAGATGCATTTAAAAAATGTAAATTTGAGCCTATAGTATGGTCAAATACCTTATATATTAGAGGCAAAAAATTCATTTACTCTTTGTTCCTTTTTAACTTTGGGTATGTGTTTAGAATGACACTTATTTAAAGTTTTGTCTTCTATTGTTGCTGCTGCTGTTCTTCTACAGCAGTCCACTTAGAAAGCTGCAAGTGTGGAGACATCTACAGAAAAAACCAAAGCTCCTTCAGGAGCTCAACCTATGCATTATTAGTATTTCATATTCAGGATACATATATTGAGTCTTGAGCTTACTAGGAAGTCACTCAGATCTGGCTCACTCAGGGCTCTGGATGCGAAGCCCTGTTTCATCAGCAACTGAAGTTTTCAGCAGAGATGGAAAATGTGTGCCTACTCTCTGGGCGGTAGGCTAAAGACTTCAAAGGAAGAGCTTCCTCTTCCGAGCGAGCATTCGTATGCAATAGCTTTTGAACATGTAACCTTTTCTCAAAGTACAAAAACTGTAAAGGCTTATGTTGGTATGGATTTCAGCTGTGCAAATGCTACGGCAACCAATACAAACCAGGCTCATAAATTTCTGGAAAAAATACAAAATGGCTTCAAACAGGCCAATATTAAATGACTGGAACTAGTTCAAAAAACCCCAGGCCTTGCTTGATCTAAAAGGCTTCAACCTCCCAAAGTGAACAGCCAGTTAAGTCAGATTCTGAGCAGGAGGGTCTGAAGCACCAACTGGAAAGTCTGAATGCTCACTGGAAGGAAACCTGACTGGGAGTGTTGCTGGGTGCACAGGCATGAGGTCAGGCACCCCCGAAGGTGTCTCCAGGCCACTGCTTCAGAGCCAGGATTTCACCATCCCTCTCACGGCTAACTTTTCAGAATTTAAAAAATATAGGCTTAAGGGAAAAATGAATTCAAGTACAGCAACAGTTCAAACATTTTACTAAATCAATTCACACAATTTCAAAATTGTAAATATAATTAAGGACAACAGGGTTTCTGTATTTTTTCTTCCAGATTTATCATTAAGACAATAAACAAACACAAATTAGGTTTATAGCATCTGTTCTTTTAAAAAATGAAAGGAACACCACTCGATGTATTGATAAAGCACCACAACACAGTTACAAAATAGGGTCGGCCTGTTTCTTTCACAAGTAAAAGACTACATACTTCTAACAGCTTTCTGCTTCAATCCATACTTCATTAAAATAAAACTATAAAATCTCCTAGATTACACTAAGTTCAGACGATGCCTGGTATACAGTGCATTAACAGCAGTAATGCCAACTATCAGTGCCAACATAAAACATTTTAGAAAGTAAAAACAAAACAAACAAAAAAAAACCCCAGAACAAAATAAAACAAAACAAAACAACAAAAAATCCACCTTTATTCCCCTAATGAGCAAAATTTAAAATAAGGGATGCTCTGCTTCACAATGAGTTAAGGATTTGGGGAGGACGATGGGTAGAAGAGGGGGCTGGTACTGTAGCTTTCTAGGCTTAGTTGGCATCTAGTTTGGCCATTTCCTGCACGTATATCCCTATACTCTCGCTGTCAAAGAGCACGAAGTACACCGTCTTGATTGAAGAGGACATTGTTGACACAAAATAGCTGGAGATGGCTTTCAGGATCAGCTGAGCAGCCGTTTGCTTTGGGAAGCCGTTTCTAGAAGGAGAGGCAAAACAAGAAAGAAAATCAAGACTTGCTAAACAAGCTTTCGATGGTATAAACCTTGCAGGGAATGCTCTGTCTTTTCTCTGTGACAGAACAGTAAATAAAGCTACAAAGTCGGTGTTTACAGTCTGAAGTAGAAGCTACAAACTTGTTTCAGTCAAGATTTAAAATGTTCAAACAGAAGAAAAGCATTCCCAAAATATGAATACAGAGCTCACACACATGAATGGGTTGACCCTTATGATATCTGATGGGTCAGTTATTCTCATTTAACAGAAAAGTAAACCAACAGCCTAAAGCGTTCAGGAAAGCACCGTATACGTTAGAGTTGCAGAGTCAAACCTGTCCTGAAAACAAACCAACCACTGAAGTAAAATAAAAAGGGACAGAGAACTTGATGTAGAAAATTAAGTGTGAAAAGACACAAAGTACAAAATGGTTTTACCACTATTAATGGTTAATAATATAGTACAAAATTAAAGAAATTACTTCTACAGCCTTGCTGTAGACTGAAGAGAGAATGAGTTCTAGTAGTCCGGTGGTGAGAAACAACACTGGCCACACTCTTACCATTTCCAATGTGGTAGAAAAAGGGAAGCAAGAGGCCTGAAGGTGAGCAAGGCTGTGCTCCTGAGTCCCAGGGAGCCTTGGCTGGACGGGGTCAGCCTAACTTCACTGGGCTTGGGGAGCCAAAGTAGCTGTGTCAGGGCTGAGGACAGACTTAAGGGACTTGATGGCTTCTCTAAGCCAACCTCAGCAACACTTTCAGTGCTCCTTACATCCTTTTTAATTACAGGCTGACTCAGCATGAGTACAGTCCTGAGATAAATATCTTGAAAGACATCTGCTTGGTATCAGCTGGGTTGATCTGAAAACCAGAGGCCTTTCTACTCCTCTAGCAACACCTAAAGAGGCTCCTGCCTCCCTCTTCTGGGGAAGCCACAGAGAAACAGAACAACCCTTGCAACTTTCTCAGATAACAAAATTGCACGACTGAATTTCAAACCTCAGTGCCTAATCTGGGAACGCTTCTTACAAGATTTTTCACATTTTTATCCAGCAGCCCTTGTCTGAAAGTTCCATCTAATCTTAAAACAGGTCAAGCCCAAGTAGAATGGTCCGAACAAAGCCATGACCTGAACTGTGAGTTTTACAGGTCATGGCAAACTCCCAGACTGTGGTTTTGGCCCAGCTGAAGTCTGAGCAGTCCCCGAGCCGCAGTGAAGTGCACTGCAGTCATCGGTCTGAAGGTGACAGGCCCTGGTCACTCTGCTACGAGTAGGACCCAAACAGAATTTGAAAGAGCCCGTGGAACATCACCTGGTTCCTTGACATGCACTTCCAGATGTACGATGGTCAATACTCCCTGTTTAAAGTGTGTACTATTAATACCACTAATAATTTACAGATTACACAGACGGCCGAGTTTCTCAGAGTTTCCTCAGCAATTTGAAGCAGCTGGGCTAAATTCACCTCTGGCACTAACAGGTGCAACATCACTTAGCACTTGCTCACCGAAGCACCAAACTCTGATAATAACACGCTGTTGTACTCTCCCTCTCGTTACGTGCTGCAAGACACAAAATGAGAAAGGCAACTGCCTGTGTCACGGCCTGCTTACTGCACATTACCTTACCATAAAATATACTTCGAGAGCAATTCTGTGGTAGTGCTGCCTGTAATGTGATATACATGCTGCCTGAAGATAATGCTTATGATATTTCAAAAACGATGACATGAAATAGCTCATGCTGTTTCTTTCTTTTCTGAAAATGCCCAATTTTTTCTGTTACTGAAGAAGACAAAAGGGAAAAAGCACTGTGAGAAAACCCTGTACTCTTCCAAAGCCAACTGAGCTAGTCAGGGAGAATCAGCTGAGTGACAAGTTAATCAACTGAGAGCATAGTTTTGACATAGGAGTTACTTCCTACTGTTGGCTTACATTGAGAAAAAGACACAGGCTCAGCATGCTCCACATCAGATCACTTGCTAGTTACTTAGGAATGCCGTATCCCGGCATATACTGAGCAGATCTTTGAGGAATTTTGCTCCTAGGCAGGGATTGTCATGCAGGCCAGCATCAGAATCAGTGTATAAGCTGTTTCTGAATTGTTCACAGCGGGCTCTGAAGTCCTACAACTTCCACTTCAGTAGTGTTCCAGCAAGGTGGTCACAACAGGGCGAGTGAAAGAAGAGCAGCCTGGTCAAAGGGAGGCACACGCACAGGGAAGCCGATTAAATTCTTTAGGACCACTGTCTCAAAAGAAAGGAAAGAGACAGTAGAAAAATCAGGAGGATGGTGCTGACCCAATGGCCATGTGTGGGCTGCGAGAGGAAACAGAAGCCTCTTGTGTCAATCTACTGGTCTGAGTTAAATTCTTGTGAAAAGGCAGTTTGAGACTTTCGCCAACTAGTGTCAGTTCAGATCAGTCAGAGCCTCAGAACGAAATCCCTACTCCGAGGGTGATTTTACATTCAATCCCTATCTCTCCTTTCCCTGTTCTCCTGCTGGCCCTACTAGACTGAACTCCAGGCTACCTTTGTGCAGCACCCAACTTGTGCTTTCCACAAGTTGGCTGTAGCTGAGCATCTGGCCCATTGAATGCTACAAGTATGCTATTTTATTTCCCCCCATGATTTATTTGAACTGCCCTCATGTAATCCCATTCCTTAACTATAAAAGAGAATGAAACTGTTTATGTGGGTTTATTGGGTGATGTCTGCTTGACAGATGTCTGTACTAGAACAGCTGCATACATGTGGTGTCTTTGGCATTTGCTGTCTTTAAAAGCTTTACTTTTATTTTTTTTTAACGCTTCTGACATCATAAAAACAAGTAAAGAGTATTGTCAGAATATATTGTTCTCTCCAAAATTAATTTATGCTTGAATATCTCTAATTAAGAGAAAAAAGGGAAAATACACAACCTCATATATTTCTCAAGGCCTGTTGATCCCTCTCCATCATTTAAAACCACCACTTCAACTGGCTGGAGTGAGAATGACGTGCATATGCCAAGTTGAGAACTCAACCACAGATCCTCCCTGTCAGTAACCACATTTCATAACAGGATGTGAATCTCATGATTATTCAGGGTTTCATCATCTTCCAACACCAATCAGCTACTTTGCAGCAACAAAGGTTGGGAGTGGTTCTTTGCTGGGAGCTATCCAGAAAAGAAAGGGCTCTGTGGAGGATACTTTATGTAGTCTTGCTTTAGGCATCTACATAACCAACTCCACAGTCCGTGGAGGAATACGGTTTCTCCCAAAGAGCAATTCAGAGCTGCTCCTTGTACTGACTAGCCCGTGAACCTGACAGCTAATTCAGCTGGCTACTATGAACCCTCCACTATATTTCTCTACCGTTCTAAAAAGTAGGCTCGTGTTACCTCCTTAAAATGGCACCCATGTAAATTACCCTCATTTGGAGCTGTGTCCGATGCAAGTCACTTAAACTTACTATCCCAGTGAAACTTCTATTTCTTTATCGTCATTCACCCAAAAGCTCAAGCAGCACGTCCTGCCCTAACCCACAGAATATGCAGGAATTAATCTAGTGTTGCAACATGGCACAATGGGAAGAATATCCTTGCTGTACATCAGCCAATGCCTTTCATGGCAAATTCAAAAGGGGCAGCTGTTCAGGTTAAATACACAGCGGTGTAATTCAGCCTAGATTTGGCCCTCAGTCTTCACACTGAGCCATCATTACGGGCCAAGTGTTCCAAGCCTCCCTCCCCACCCTGAACCCCAGAGCCTCAGATTAAAAGTGTGGTCCATATTCAGACTCTTCAGAACATGATCCAACCTTCAAAGGCACTGAGCACCCTGTACAAAGCCAGAGGAACTTAACTTTAGGCTTTGGCTTTCAATAGACCTTGGCAAAGGCTTTTAAGGCCTTTTATTTCCGAAAGAGTCCCACAATGTAAACTACATGGAATTCAGGTTATGGATTTTGGGTGAAAGCTTGAAGTGACTCTGCAAATCCTGAGAATCCAGGCACTTTGGGTTTGCTCCTTAAACAAACACTAAGCCATGTCTTCTGGCCATCCTAAGACATATATTGCAGTAAGTTTAATTGTGCACTAAAGCCAGGTAAAATAGAGCCCTTTTCTTCACGTTCACCTCCATACCCCCAATTTATACGAACAACTTGATTGTCTGAAAGACGTCTTTTAATATCCTCTTTAAAAAGTTCGTTTCATGCTCTTTAACCTATTTGCATGCTTTAAGACTCTGCAGGGATCACTACTAGACCTGCCAAACCTGAACTAGTGTTCAGGAGAATAATGCAGGCTCCATGCACAGCTTGAACAGACCTAGAAGAAATATTTCATTTAGGGAACTGATCTAAACGAACAAGAATAAAGTCAACATTGTAGCAATGGGTTTTGTACATGAGAAGGGACTGGAACATAGGATATGGCCCTTAGAAAATGTGACTTATTTGGCATCAGGTTTGTGTAACAGCCTTACCTGCCACTGCCAATTGAAGGAAACGCAATTGATTTCAGCTTCTTTTCATCAGCCAGAGCCAAGCAGTTCTTCACCGTCTTTTCCAGCAGCTCCTCACATTTGTCTGAGCCCCAACCGGGGCTATTACAGTGGATCACAAATTTCGCAGGCAATCCGTGGCCAGCACTGACAACAGCTAGTAAGAAACGAAAGTGAAACATAATTGCTCTCCTCTCCTTAGGATTAAAAGAGTACATCTGTGATTACAATAGCAAACAATTGACAGACATTCCTTTAGCCCCTGTGAATGTTTTAGATTACAAATCACAGAGCCTTAAAATATAACAACATGATTACAGAGACTTTGTATTTTCCATTTCCAGCTGCACTTTGCTGTGGTAATTTATAAATCATTGCTATAATCGAGCTTATTTTAGAGAGAGCAAGAATTCATGGCTGACATCAAAGGAAACACATTTATGTTGGGGATTGTACAAACTTGTGTAACATCTAAGGAAAAAGGCAGCGATCTGTTAGAACGCAAACCCATTCAAGGGATGATCTTGCTTTGGTTCGGCTTATTGCAGAGCTATGGTAAATATCAGGATGCTGGACAGTTGCAAAGAGTTATAGCTTGTGTGACCTTCAGCTATTCCTCCTAAATACAGTTTGTTTAGCTAGCTTCTGATCACACTGCCGCCCAGACTGGATCAGTTCAGAGCTATTAGTGCTCTGCAAACTGGTGAGGAAGGCTGGAAAAGAGGTGAATTAAGATTTTTGCTTTATTCCCAGCTTTGTTTCTGAGTAACTGTAAAGAAATCATTTTGTGTGATTTCAAGACTTTGAGCCTGGTCTTATTAGAGCTTTTTTGTCATCCAAAATCACTTAAACAATGCTGGTTTGAGTTCATCTCTTTCATCACATTCTTGACAGATGGTTGGAGAGGGTGCATTTATAGATTTACAATGATTCGCACTGTTTACGGACCAAGAGGCAAGGCTTTGTATGTACAAAGAAATGAAGAAGAATTTTTACCAAGTTAATTGTATATTATCACCACGATACTACCATGGTCGTGTGGGCACCCAGAGGGTGCAGCAGAACCTGCCTACAAGCTACTGACAGTCAGGGCTCCTCCAGGCGAGAGGCCGTGTCTCAGGAGAGCACGTTCTGGGTTCACACTTCCCATCCCCAAGCGACAACAGACCGTGCTCCACCTGGCAGAAAACAGGCTAAGGGGATCGCTGCCATTTCTGAGAGCACAGGTCTGGGGTTGCAATTAAGAACTTGTAACTTTGGTTTGTTAACAAAAAAAAAAAAAAAAAAAAAAAAGAAAAAAAAGAAGTAAGAAAAACACCCTAGTCACAAGCTGTGGGAAGAAAAACACCTAGTTGAAATCTCATGAGAGCGTACACTAAACCTCCCTAAAGAGTCAGCCCCCTAACACACATGCTTTGGGATATGATCATACGCAGCCACAAAAGTGTAGGTATAAAAAGGCAGCTTATGTCTTAAAAAAAAAAAAAAAAAAAATACCAATAATTACAAAAAAAAAATTAAAAATTAGGTTTGCAAAGGTGCTTAGAGGCCAGAAATCTTCTACTCCATTCTGGAATGTTTATGAGGCACTTTGTTATTTAACTATAGTAGAAATAACTCTTGGAGCACAATCATCGCATATGGATACTATCCTGTAGCTGCTGCAGGAAAGAGAAAATAGACTTTGCCATATGGCATTCTGACTGGAGGTCAACCAGAAGAGAACATTTTGAAGGACAATGGAAGCACAAGCATTTACGTTCTTATGGGTTTGCATATTCTCAACATGTTGAATAGCCTCAGTGTTAGGCAATGTTAATTTGTCATAATGTGCAACTAAAATGTTGGCAGATTTAGGATACATCATAAATCCAAGAAAAATCTATTAAAAGCAGCTGACATATCTCTAGTCAGATGTGAAGTGTAGATAATATCTTCATCCTAAAAGAATAAAACACTGTATTGATACACATCATCAACTTTAATATTTCTCAGGGAGTGTTTTCTAGGGAAGTCATTAATTAACTCATTAGGATTCTGTTGAGGACAACTGTTAATTACCAAGAGCCCTTCAAATTTGAATTCACTTAAGTTTGCAGTCCCTTATTTCAAATGCAAATGCTCTGAAAGGGGAAGTCAGTTATGCTTTTGCTGTAGTAACAGAAAGAGAGAACCATGGACACGTTCTGTGCTAGTTACAATTATATTCCAGGTAAGGATCCTGCTTATTGGTTGAGTAAAGGGATACCCATATAACTGAGAAATCTGAAAACTGTATCTGTATGATTGAGAAATTGATGTGTATCAATTCTCTAGAGTCCTCCAACAAGTCCCTAACAGCCAGTTTCTCCTGGTGTAGTGTAGAGCTCCCCACGCGATAAGACGGCCAAGTGGCCCTCAGATCTGAGGGATGCATCGATGGCTGAGAAAAAAAATCTGTTCTCTCCAACTTGCAAACTATTTGTAGGCAGTTTGGTATGAGCTGATAAGGAATACTGTACGGAAGGAAAAAAAAAAAAAAAGTCATTGATTCTACATACTTTTGCAGCACAAGAATTCCAAGAAAAACTTATTAAAAATTTTAAAAAGCACAGGAAAAAACCCAACATATTAAGCATCAGAAGTAAACAGTTGTAATTTTTCCTGTCAGAGCTGGTCTTACATCTCCCCTTCAGCTTTAGTTAGAATTCGTTTACAAAACCGCGCACACTGTATTTATTTTTATAGCATAAACACAGATGGCAGAATCAGCCTTCTATATGAACAACATGTATCAGCAATTTCACAGATGGTGTAAAATTATGTATCGCCATTACCAAACTTTATTACTCATATAGTAGATTTTTCTCAGATATTACATAAATTTTGATAACTAGGCATCAAAAAGTCGTAAGCTTTTACAGTGATGATTTTGGCACTGATTAAACAAAGTACCCAAGCAGATGCTTAACTTCAAGCACGTGCTTAAGTTCAGTGAAAGTCAGTGGCATTGCAGCAAAGCAGATGTTGAACAGAGTTGGACTCGACTCTTCTGAAAATAAGCATCTCATTAATTGCTTTTCTGAACTGTGCCCTTAATAATCAGCATCCATTGTGTGTGCGTGTACCTGTGAACAGCCTGCTTTCACTTGTAACATTACATCACTACACCATTCCCCGGATGCTTTGGTAAAGGTTCCTTAAAATGCAACGTGTGGACTTTTAACTCTGGAGAATACAAATATCACATAACCCATAAAAGCTGTCTGGAGAGAGCACGAACCCGAGCGTTGTCCTGGCGGGAGCCTGGCTGGCTGACGGCCCCAAGAGCGCTGCCGGCAGCGCGGCCAGTGCCCGCAGGGGTTTGTCTGCAGGTTCCCGAAGCGCAGAACCTCACCTCCAGCTATGTCCAACGGCCCGTTCTTTTTGCGAAGCTCAATGACAGCTTCCACAAACTCCTTGCCGCCTTTCTTTTCCAAAGTGCTCCCTGAACAGAGAATTGTTATTTTACTCCTCTGATCCCAGGTTTCCACAGCAGACATGTGACTCATCATTATTTTTTTATTACATCACTCTAGAGTTTTCTGCCCAAACATTTTTTGGGGACTGCAAAGTAAGATCTAAACCTTTTGGGACTTCAGAATTAGCTAGTCATTAAAAACAACAACAACAACAACAGAAAGAAAAAACCAAAAAAGACAACCCTAACAACCCAAAAACCTCACATTGGTATCCCTTGCTAACATTCTCAGACTCCGATTTTAATGTCAAAACCTCTGACATGACGTCCCTACCTCCTTCCTTATCATGAGCATCTCAGTGTGAAATGTTCCAGAAGAATGTGCTAGCTCAAGAGTGGTGGAAGGTTCCTAATTCCTTCCCCTAAGATTCATTTCCCCTCTCTCTTACAAATTGTTTTAAAGAGCCATTTGCCACAATAAGAATTTGAAACTCACCTGATCTTGGTCCCTGACCCCAACAGGTGGCACCAGGAATGAAACAGTCTCGTGAGTGCAGCGGGCTGCTTTACTTGGTAACTGCCCAGCTTGTTGAGCCACCTTTAACCAAGAGGAAGAGCCTCAGAAATAAGGAGAATCTCTAAGGAACATATTCCTCCAATGAACTTCTCTAACTACAGCTAAGGAGCTGGACAAAGTCATTCTGGGAGGAGAAGAGCTGTGCAATGTTTCAGGGCAACCAAAAGGTATGCTGTTTACAAAGGCAGTCCATCACTAAATGGTTTAGATCTTATTTTGCAGCTCTAGTTTTAAATATTTATATAAAAAAAAACAAACCAAAAAACCAAAACAAAAACAGCCCAAGAAAGCATTTTCCTAACTACATAAGCAACCCACATAATTTTGCACTGTGCATATAATTATAAAGGTAATAAGTAAAAAGCAGTGATATCATAAAGGCTCTGATTTATTACTTTGAAAACTGATTTCCAAAAATTCAGAACTAGCATCTCTAAAGATCTAGACATTTATTTGGTGAAACCCCTTACTTTCACTGATGAAGAAAGAAAAAATGCATTTTCTGATGGAAGTGCACATACTATATGCTCAAGGAAGCAGAGCCCTTCCCCCAAGATTCAGTTTACTGAATAGATCTCATTATAGCTCTAAGAACTAAGAGGACTGCAAGATGCTTTTGTTTTGACACCATTGCTAAATTTCTTTCAAAACGAAGATTAAAAGTTGAAAACAATGCATTTGTTTGTTCATTCAAGAACTGACTCTGTGACCCTGCCTCTACTTTGCTATTGGCAGTTTATTGCTTTTGGGGTACAAAAGCTGAGGACAATTAGAAAATGTACGCCTTTTGTTGGTGGTTTGTTTTTTTTTTTTTTTTCATAACCAATTCACAGTGGGTGTTTGCCAAAAGCTGGACTCCAAGCTTTTTTATAGAAATACTTTGGTCTAGGTTTATTCAGACAGACTCCTCACTAAGAATTTTCTGAAACTCAGTTACCTATCCCTGTGCAACTGAGTGGAAGGCACCACCTTACAAATCTCTTAGAAAAGACAGTAATGGCTTTATTTGTAGCAGCAAGGTGTCTTAGGAGGGTGTGCTAGGAAAGGAGATCCACCCCGGCACGGAGGTGCAAAGGCAGCGATACAGCAGATGCCCCCCACACGGTGCCCTTGGCTGAACCAGGCTAGCAGACGTGGCTGACACCAGGGCCTTGTAAAATCACTCTGACAGAAGAGGGATGGGGAGGGAAAGAAACAGTCTTCCATTCTAGTTATAGTCATCTTGTATGTATTTCAATATCGTTCCTATTTATATTTGTATATATTCCAGTTATATTCCCCTTGAGTCCATGAACTCAGATCAGTCCTAAAACCCATGACATTCATAATCCTTAATTTCTCCTGTTTCAAGGGGAAACATAATTAAGCCTTGTGTAGAACCTAGGAACAGAAAAGATCTATTAAGTAGGTCATTTCTTTGCCATTGCAAAGCTGTTGTACATTTAATGGAATTTAGCCTGGTTTGGTTTAATTCAATCCAGAAGGATCAGCTTTTTCACTTCTACTGGGAATTAATTTATAATTAAAAGCAATGAACAACCCTGTCAGTTTACTTCACTGAGCTCTCTTCTTGCAGATCTGGTACAAAGAAGAGCAAAAGTAGTATTTGGTATGAATCTGTAAGGTTTTCTGCATTTACTCCTCAATTATGTTCTTCTGATTAACGGTGAGGGTTTATATTGAAATTACATTGCAGAACTATGTTGTAAATTAGCTTCATCTGGGAAAGGGCATACTGTACTTAACCATTTTCCACTACATTAGCAAGTTTCTTGATGGAAGTCTTGCTTCACAGCTCCAAGGTTAGTAGCTTATTTGCTCACAGGCATAAATATGTGTCACTCCCATGAGAATAAGATCATTATCTCATGCTCTCCAAGCAGGCATTGGTATCAGTGTTGAAAACAGCGTTAGCAGAAATTTAGGCTCTAAAATTCTCAGGATAAGCCCCCAGTACATTTAAATTGTTAGGGAAAAAAAAACAACAAAAATTAAAAAAAAAAATTTTAGATGGGTAAAAGTTAATCATTGGAAGCTAAGCATTTGTGCACTTCTATTCTTTCTTACAGCAGTCAGAGGCAACAGGAACCTACACTAAGGAATAAGCAGTACAGCTTCAAGAGATAATTTTCTTTGTAGAGTAGCAAAGCATTTCTTTGTCAAAGGGTAACAGACAAACACATTAGCTAAATGGGTCTGACAGACTTTAGAAGCATATTCTTCAGATAGAGGGTTTTAAGACACTTTTATTTTAATGTCTCTGCATAATGTTTAGCCAGCCAAGTCACAGCTGTTCCGGCCCAACAGGCTATACAGAGCTGCATTTGTCTACGTGTTACTCAGAAAGTAGCCCCTTCAGAAAGAGTGGGTGTTGTAGGAGACGCCAGCTCTGCAGCAGGACGTGTGTCCCTCCAAGTCAGGACTGAAATGGGGCCTCCGGCATGGAGGGAGACCATTCGTGCAGCGATGATGAGTTACAATGAGATGTGGAACAGCCACTGGGATCCGGTGACTTTTTTTTTTAAGCGTGGTAGGTCATCACCATTACCAGCAACATCTGTATTCAGCCCAAATTCTGATTTGCCTTCTCAAATTACCACGGCAGTTCAGTTAAAGTAGTGCTACCCTTTTACAAAATCCTTCAAAATACTGTACGCAGAGAGGGGGTACTGCTAAGATAAGAGTTACTCAAGGGACCCTTAATATACTGAATTAAGATGTCTGTCATGTTTTCTATTGTGTCTTCTCTTGTCAGTGTGGCTTAGATGACTGACTGCCTGAAAAATGTACGTATCATCACTAGCCATGCGCTTGTGGGTGTGAGGACCATTGGGCAGGGCTATGAAGGTAATCGGTCCGTAAGGTAAAACACAAAAAAAGTAACCAATCTGAAGAGTTCAGAAAATACAGATGGGCTAGATCCAGCACGTCAGATGTGAACATCTGAAACTTGGCATGGAGAGGGTGTACTGGAACTGGTTAGAAATCTAAAGATCAAGACTCAAACCACATTCAAGACAGGCATTTAGCATGTCAAACAAACAATGTGGTAATTCATTTTCCTTGGTCACATGCCTGCACTGAACGTACTGTTCCTGCCCTTCAAATTTTGGCGGTGCATTCTATTGTTACTTCTGAAAGTCTGATTTGGTGATAAAAATCAAAAATGCCTACTGAGTTTGCAATTATTACTTTCTTTTTATTATCCATCAGGACTGCTGGAAGTGAGAAATGAATGCAAATCTGCATAGCTACAACAAGCTTGTGGCTGCTGATTGACCATGCACACACATACAAACTCCGCAGCACTGAACTTTCCATTACCTACTTCACCACCGGTGTAGAAGTCAGAGTTTGTCGGGTGAACGACAGCATCACTGTCGATCGTGGCAATGTCAGCCTGTACAACTTGCAACTACAACAGGTAAACAGATGTATATCAACCACGTTGGACAGAGACCCAGCACAGGCTCTACATTTACACATGTACCAACGTCCATATTTTCCTACCTTTACATCTCCAAACCTTGCGCCAAAGGAGTATGCTGAGTTGTGTGTGCAGGTGTGTGTAGAGAAAGGGGTGTAGGGAACAGGAGGAGGAATATTGAGTATGACATGATCAAATAAATGTTAAAATGACAAGTCAGAGCAATCACATGAGATCATTTCCAAAGTTTTAAAATCAGCTAATACCCCATTTCACTTTGCAGAAACCTAGAACAACCAGTTCCCCACAGAGCATGACACTAAAATATGGAATCTGTTTAAAAAAGAAATTCAGGATCATCAAGCCAAACAAAATAACTAGTTTCTCCATTTTGTCAGCATCAATAAGCTGACAGGCACTAATCTTCATCTGTGTAGTGATTCATCATTTTGTTTCTAAAAATGACAGTCTCCTTCATATGGAGGAAACCATGTATTTGCAGACAGGGTTGCACTGAATTTGCCTTAAAAACATAAATGATCGATCTGATATTTTTAAGGTAAGGCATATTTTCTAATTATGTGCTGGAATGGCTGAGACACTTGTAAAAATATATATGTTTCTGAGAAAGGCTGATTTAAAAATTAGCCTTCTTAAGTCTTTTTCTTGTTAAATTACTTGTGTACATTCCCGTAGGAAATGCAGTAGTAGAAGAATTATGGGTTCTATTCCATTAAGGAAGTTTTAAAAAAAGACAGCAGCAGGTATAATGAAACAGGATGAGATGGCAGTATATAATGTATAAAAGTTAATTTTTCTTTTACTTTTGCTGAAGAACAGACTTGTTGAAAAAGGATTTTTTTTCTTTTTCAATCTGGAACAAGATAGAAGCTTTAAAGCGATCCACCAACTATGATAGTATCTACAAGTTCAGTGTGGTATAATGTCTGTATTTGTTTTCAGCTGAATGTGAAAGTGGCAGGGAGTAATTGAAGCATAATGGAAACAAATTATTTGACTGAATTAAACATGAAATCAAGGTAGAAAAGATTTGAGGATAGTTAATTATTTAATCATTCCTCTTTTAAAAATGTATGCCTACTCTGAATATCAGAAAAAATCCCAGGATTGCAGTTAGAATGGAGAAACTGCTTATTTTGAAAACAACCTGACAAGAAAGTATTTTAGTCCTCAAAGTATCCAAATAAGAAACCCCCCAAAATAGCTAACAGTCACATATGATCATTATGGAAAAGAATTTAAATGATTTGTTTTAACTGAAATCAACTTGAAGACTAGCAATAGCTGCAAGTATTCAGATTTGGTGAAAAAGTCTTTTGAGTGTAGTTCTTCATCAAAACAGAACCTGGAATATTTTAATTTCTGCTCTTACTGAATGTATGAAGCCCTAGGGAGTAAATTCTGGGTTCCATAATTTCCATGTGACCGTTAGTTGTGTCAACCCATGCCCCATTTACCTAGGTCATCTTTAAGGTCAATGTCAGCATTGGTAGGATTGATAATGGCCTCCACCTCGAAGCCGGCTAAATTACTGATTTCACTGTGAATAAGGTTCAGCTGAAAAGAAAAGCATGAGGTGGGAAATAACAGGACAGCTGGGAAATCACAGAGAAGCTGCAGAAAAGTGAGCTTTGCAACACAGATGGAGATAGCATCACTGCAAACAAATATGCAAAATAAAAGGCAGGTCATAAAGGAGGGTTGTTATCCAAAAAAAATTCAAACACAAGACTCAAACATTGTTCACACTGGGAGGACATGAAGGGACCTACTAACAAGCTCTGTTTTGGCTTTATGTTGGCCGCTATTTGGGATTCTTACTTTGGCATTATAAGGGGGTATTTGTTTCTCCTCAAAGTATAGATGAAAGACACCCTAATAATTTCTTAAGCATCAACTGCAGGAATGTGCCATGACTGCTCAGCACTGAAGATAGATAAAAGCTGATGCTCTTCCTCCTTTAACTCAGCAAACATGAGCACATCTTTGAGAACACACACACATGTCTCCAGTAATTCCTCCATCCTAACAAGGGGACATGTTTCTTTTTCTTTCCTTGTTAGTGGCCACCATATTCTGCACTGCAGGCACTTCAGTTTTCATTTGCACAGTTCTGTTGCCTTTGTGAATGGCTGGGGAAGCCCTGTAAGCAGGCACTAATATGTACTTATTGCTCCTAGCTTTTATTTTATTTGCTTTACTTCCTTCTGTCACTGATGAAAACAGAGATTTTAACCCCGTCCACTAATGGCCATTAACTCCTCTCATCAACACCCAGGTATTTAAAGCGTGCTTCTCAATTGCTGTCTGAATCATTACAAAATCAGAAGGATTTCTCATGGCCATACAGTAGAGGTGAGGAAGTTAGCACAGATATCTAGAGATTAACTTCACATCTGCAGTATACGTTCTTAAAACAATTAATGAAATATGAGGAAGTGCAGATTTCAACTTCTAGCAACACATTTTGAGCAAGACTTACGAACTAATACATAAAATAAGAAGCAAGGGTAACAAACTGATCCTGCTGTGCCATACTGGTGAGGACTTTTTTTGGAAGCTCTTAGATGTGTAAGGTGATAGCACAATTTGCTTACTGCTGACAGTTCGGGTGTCTCACAGTATGTGACCCACACCACAGAAAGAACTCCGTAATTTGAAGGAAACTGAGGTGAATGCCAAACCTGGCAAAAGTCAAAACTACCATAGCTGACGGGTATGTGCAGAAGCTTTGTGACAGGGGTCGTGGCACTGCTTTGTAGCCAGTGTTGGGAAGTCTGATTTCACACCAAGTTTACTACCACCAAAACTTAAACCACTTTAAAGTGCAAAAAATTTTTCAGACTTTCACATGGGGAGATACATTATGTACATCATAAATTATGCTTCTGTCCACAATATGCATTTAAAGTGATTGTTTCAGTAGGCAATATGGAAAGTAATTGTTGATTAGGCAATATGGAAAGTAACTATGAAAGAGAAAGTTCTCATTCATTTATGCAAGTCCTGAAGCCAGCTGCAGTTAAGCCAGGCTTTCCTTCTCATCCAAAGCCCACTGGGTTCAACCTATGAAGTATAACATACATTCAGGCATGGCAATTAATCTCATCAATTACTGAATTTTGTCTCTTGGTTTGTAATCCATGTTCTGTAAAATTAACTCTTCAAATCTTCTCCTTGGGTATGTGAGTTTATGAATAAGGAATATGAGCCAATTCATGTAACCAATACAAGCGAATGGATCATTTAAGGAGGCCAACATCCATATATTTAAGTTTTATGAAAAAATTATTTCCATTTAATTCATGTGATTATATGAATTGACCTTCTTTCTCTTTTTAAAAGCCTGCAATTTCATATAATTTGCATATGTTGCTTGAGTAAACTATGTTCCCTCAAAATAGGGTGATTTTGGCTAAAAATGAGTGTAATTCAGCCCTGGTTTAAGTACAGGTCTGTTCAGGAATTTGTAATAAAATCTAAGAAAGCTTGCTTTCCAAATAGCTTAGAATCCTTTAATACTTCACATGTGGTGAGTTATTCATGCCTGAGTTTGAGTCTTGAGTTTGACTACAAGCAACTGCTGTTTAAAAAAAAAAAAAGTCAAATCAAACCAAACCAAAATGTTAAAGAAACTTTATGAATTTTGAAATAAAAAAACAACAACAAACCACATGCACACACCAAAAGACTGTTTTGTGGAGATTTTAGTATGTTTCTAAGCAGATTTTTTTCATCTTCTATGTGACTCATTTTGATCCCTAATTCTGCGTTCTACAAGTTTTTACCCCAGATCCATTGGATGCAGTCCATTTTGGTTTCAGACCTTTAATGTATCTCTGCTCCTACTCATATATGGGATTTACATAGCAACCAGCTGGTAATTAAAGTTTCAATTTTACAGCAACAACAAAACGCACAAAAAGCTGCCCATCACTGATACCATGTGTTGGCAGCTAAGTACTATTTTGCTAATTTTTGCATATTCTGTCCAATGTACTGTTAGCTATCAGATTGCCAAAAACAATTAAAAAAAAAAATCAGAAGTTTTTCCACAGAATTAAATCCTCCAATGAGTAATTGTTCAATTTTATTACCCAATAGTATGGAGCATGAAAGGCCACTTTTAAAAAGAAATAGGCACAACTTGCATATACATGTGCAACAAAGAATGGACATAACTTTAGGTAACATTTAAATAAAATGTTAGTTAAATAAAATGCAGATGGCACTTAGCACATCCATGAGTATTTTCTGAGCCAAGCCTTGCATTTCTTATTTCAGACAAAATTACCTTTAAAGTCTTGGAACTTTTTCTGGTATGATTTTCATAGAGAAAACTGAAGATGCCTGTTGCAGACAACAAGCTGAGGTCTCTCTGAAAGTCCAAACCCTAACGCTTAGGCTTGAGGTTTTACAACTCTGCCTCTACTCCGTAATTGTCTCAGGAAAAACAAACTAATTAATGTGCTGAATACCACGTCTCCATTGGGATGTCACTTGTAGGATGTGCAATCGTTTACACATTAACTAGATTTTAATACTTAATTAGTGTAGCACTAATACATTTCTCCAGGTATAACTGATGGGTTCTTTGCTATTTCCTGACCTCTAAGAATTTTAGCTGAATGTCAGCAGTTACCTAAAGATTTGATTCAGTAACAGTACTTTTAAAAAACTGAACAATACCCAAGTTTACAACATTCTCATTTGTGTTTTCAGTAATTAAATCTGAGGATATCAGAAGGATGAAGAGCCATTCTTGCAAATAAACCCCTTCCCTTTCCCTTCTGCAAACATGGAGCCAAGAAAAAGATTTTTCCCATTAAACACTTATGAATGACGTGATACTAAAGGACGGGATTGTTTTCTTCTGTCTCTGTATCTAGCATATAGTGGTTTTGCAGACCAAAGAGACAGGCTGTAAAGGTGTTCAAGGATGTCACAGGAGGTTTGAAAGATACTGCTTGTTTGGGTTTTTCAGTTTCAGGTTTCTGTGTTTGCACTGTAGTTTATTAAGAACACACAGAACATGGAAGTATACTGAAAATCTGTATGGACAAATTCAAGACAAATCAAATAACTGTGATTAAATATGAATATTTTTGCTTTTCAAATTAAAAAGCTCAGAATGTTTTAACGTATTAAGCTTTCCTACCATCCATGTGAAGAGTGTAACTGTATCTCCATTTCGCAAATGGGGAAGGAAACAGAAAGAAGAGGTGATTTACAGTATCTCTGAATCGGCCAACGCCAGAAGCCAGGAGTCGTGGTTTCCCAGCCTCCAGCTGAACCACCGGAACACACTGTCCTCCCTACACAAGTGACTAGCAGATTTTTCCTTCCCTCAAAACGCTGGTTAAGGAGAGTGAGGCTCCGCTGAATAGAAGAAAGCTCCTCCTCCACACAGGCAAACACCTTCTTGCCCTCGTGTGCTTTGAGAAAAAGTGACATGCACAAGTCTAAGGAATTAAACTGCAACACTAAAGTCCAGAATCCCTACTGAAGAAAATTTTTAGTTCATTATGTTTATGAATACCAGGTGGCACTAATTTAAGACAACTATAACAAAGTTAGATAACTATTTAAAAAAAGCAGTATTATCTTTTTAAACAGCAATTGCATGTAGAAGTGGCTAAGCAGAAGCATTTTACCTGATTCAAACTCACTAGAGTTTTTATAAATAATTGTTATATTTAATTTGTACACTTCCAAAATGAATAGCAATTATTTGAGACTTCCACGTGTCACTTAAATAATTAACAACCACCACCATCAATGAGATTTCAGGCTGCTAAACCTACACGTAGCAGTTGACATCCTGTCACACCCAGGAGCCTCCTGGCCCGTGCAAAACACACCTCAAATTTAGGAGAGAGGATGCATTCAACTCCCACTGATTCCACGATTGAAAGTTTTATCTTTGTCTTTTTTATCACCAGAAAATCAAAATTATTTTGATAAATTTGAACATGCATGTTTTGAAAATAATTTCTGGGGGATGGTCTGAAAATATTTCTAGGAATAAGCCAGGATAATTGTTTTTGTTGTTTTTACGCTAAATAAAATCTCTTTGATCACTAGAATGCAAGCGTTTTTTGTATTTTAAGTTTTCCACATTTTCAGTCTTAAAATTATTTAGGTTGGTCTAAAAGTGCTATTTTGGCGGTAAAATCATAACAAAGACATGAATACATTATTTATTAGCTCAAACAAGGTAAGAATTTAATTTTTGACTCACACATAATAGGATACAGAAAATTCTTATATTTGTTAGACATAGCCTACTTTTCCTAGATTTTTAGACTAATCATTTACTGTCTCTGAAGACAGTTTGTCGCAGGGAATCAAAAGCAAAATATAATCTGTGCTAGGCACATCTCAACAGTATCTATGCATTCTCTACCCCCCAGAAAATAATCCATTTCATTTTGAGTCTTCCCTCACAGGAAACAAACAGGTTTTCATTTTTCTTTTAATTCTGTGTCCTGTGTTACAAATAAAGGCTAACGCCTGGCCCCTCTCATGTGCAGAGCTACCTGCCAACGAACCAGTATGGGTATGGACATGTCATATCAGTAATTTCTGCAGGGGGCTGCACTCCAAGTGAATGAGAAAGCCAGAAAGTCCATTTCCCAGCACAAGATGCTCACTGGAAAGCTCTACAACAGACGCTGGCTTTGCTCACCACGGCTTAAAGCACTCCTGGTGTTCATGGGTCTCCTCCACTGAGCCCAACAGCAAAGCCCCATTGATTTGCTGGGTCCGTCTTGCTGGAGCACAACACTAGCTCTTACTGCTGGTTTTCTATGGTAACTAAAAGGAGTTCAAAATCTGGTCCAAAAGTCTTACAATACTTGCTTTCTTGAAATAGGAATGTATTTTATAAATTTTGGGTTCTAATTTAGTCATCAAAATGTTTTTAAAAATATGTTCAAAACCACCCCCTAGTAGTAGTCAAATAACAAAAAAATCTACCAAACCAGCAACCTAGCTCTAGCTGTAAAATTAAATGTGGAAAATCAGAAGTCTTGCAAAAAATAACATTACTCTCATGCATGTTAAACTTGGCAAACGAACTGTGGAGGGATAAATGGAGAACAACCTCAGTATGAAATAAAGATGAGTCAGAGGAGATACATTCCACAATGGACAATGGCTCATCTTTTATGATTTACAACGCAATGATCTGATTACTGAATGATAGAAGAAAGATGCAGTTTTACTTAACAAAATTTTGTAGCATGAACTAAAGGCAGGTTTCAAGATAAAAGACCAAATTATTTTAATTAATTGTCTCTTTAAATGGATCCTCTCTTTAAGCAGATATGTATTTGTATTAAACCACCCCATGTCCCAAAGCATATTCACAGGGAAAAAAGGATCATTGACTTCTAGCTTTTCATAAAAGCATCATTTGTTATTATACAGCATTAACTTTTGTAAATAACAAAGCAGAACAAAACATAAAACCACTTTTATGAACAAATGTCTAAAATAGGTTTTGATAAAAACCTGTAAATTATTTACATCAGCAATGAAGTGGGCTGCCCACTGGAAAAAGACATTTTATTCTTAGAATAATCTCATCTTTGGCAGAAGTTTAGCTGTAACAGTTATGCTGTTTATGAATAAGGTGAGACAGATTACAAGCACAAAGGCTTTCCTTCTATTTGCATCTTTAATTATGTAGCCATATGAAGACTCATTTATGTATTTTTAAAATGTTCTAAAACTTGTTTCAGATAATTTCTTTGTTCAAAAACTAATACCATACACCTCCTCAAGTGCTCAGTGGGGAAATGTCCATTGTACCTAGACATTTTGGGGAAAGGGGGGTGGTAGGAGGGGGTATTCCCTAAGCAGCACTGAAAAATAGGTATTCGTCTGTAAAAATGCAGGAGCATACCTTCTGGCCAAGAAACAGACTTTTGGTGGACAGGACTGTGAAACCATCTGCAGGAGTTCCCTCTGTTGTACTGTCAGCACTGGCCGATTTGCTCACTTCTCCCTGCTTCTTCTTCCAAAAATATAGTTAATTAGTTAACTCAAGGCTGAGAGAAAAACAGTTTAATAACACTAAGATATATGACAAGCCATAAATGCTTACCAAGCAATAAAATGCCAGTACAAACAGTGACATTGGGATTTTATCCTTTAGTCTAGCTAAAGTGACTGATTACAGCTGAAGGACTCAACAAAAAAAACAACATCTGCATATCTATCTACATAAGCCTTTTCTTGCCTACAACAGTGCACAATTCAGATGACAGTTGTCTCAAATTTTGCAGGAAAACATATAAGCATCCCCAAACTTTTAACAGCTTTCTAATGGTTTGTGTGGAAAAAGATAATGTACCTATTTATATGTGCAGGCAGACATTCATTCTAAGGTAAAAAGAGACTTGTCAGAGCACAAATTTTATCTCTCTGTGAAGGGAGGCACTCCCAGATGTCACAAACTTATTTTTAGAAAACTGCTTTGAAATCTGGCCGTCCTTAGAGCCAGTGTCAGAGAATACATCTACTTTCTACTTGCCTAATAGCTGGAAACAGGCTGAACAATTTTCTCTGTCCTGTTTAACATCATCACCTTCCTTTATCTCCAGTAAAACTGCAGGGGGAGAAGGAGTTCCCCTCAACCACCATTCATTTTTTCAACTGTATTACTGAAGTAAAATAACAGGTTTCACTAATTAATTGAGATAGTGAATTGAAGATAGTGAATTGACTGCTGTGGTTATAAGCTCAATGGCAAAAACAATCTAATATTTTCTATAAAATTACTACTTATGATTTCATATAAATATTTGGTGCCTCAGCAATATATGTGCTAGAGCTAAAAACCACACCTGGAATATTAAGCAAGCCACTGTTCTCCTGTTGTCCCTTTCCAAAGTATGTAAACTAAATCTGTGGCTAAGCAGCTATAAGAACTTTGATGCAAGGGTATATTGGTGCTTCTAGGAGCTGTAACCATTCTTTACTTTACATAAATGTTCTGAAAATTCGATTTTCGTGGGTCTTATTTCAATTCCCCAGGAGTTTACTGTTAGCCAAATACCAATATAGTAAGCAGACAATACAGTTTATTGTGTGGAAGAAAAACAGAACCCCACAACAGACTTCCTGCTTTTGTAATCAAGTAGGGGAAAAAAAATCCAGATTTAGGAAAATTATTAGTGGATGGTTATTAGAAGCACTGCACTTGAAATGTCAGCTACTAGGTGTTCTAAGAGAAAAAACTAAAGTCAACAGTTCGAGAAAAAAAAAGGTGAAACAATCAGAAGAGTGACCAAGTAAACAATAACAGACATACAGGATGAATACAGCAGCTTTGTTCAACCTGGAAGGCAACTTTTCACATGCATTATCCATTTCATGTGAAATTCGTGCACTTTTTTCCTACTTTCATAACCTATTGATTGACAGTAGATGTTTTGCAAATAAATAAATAAACAAATCATTGGCTACACATGCACACATTAGAAAGATTAGAGTCCCTACTACAAACTGAAACTGAAAAAAAGCAATGAAGGAATGTTCTCCTTAGATTAAAAAAAAAAAAAAAAGCTATTCTTAGTTTCCTAGCATAAGGAAAAAAATCACATTTTGGTCCTCTTGTAATTCCCCTCACCTCCACACTTAATTTTGAATGAGTTTAATTACTAAAAAACCTGAAGTCTAAACATGGAAGTCTCTCGTCTGTATCACACTAATAACAAAGGAGAACATTTGTGGGTCTTTATCTCAGCCAAAGAAATTCTATGTAGCCACAATACAGCTTCTCTGATGCTGCAAGAGATGCAGCTGCCAGATCTAGCAGAATTGCATCCTACTTCAGGAGGATTATTTCACACTCCTTGGATTCCACCAAATCAACTTACAGGAATCTTATACTATGCTGGAAATAAACAAAACCCATTAAAAAAACAACAAATAACAGAAAAATACAACACTTGAAAACAGGACTCTGACATGCCAACGGCTGAGGACATTATTACAATGCAAGTGACTTAAGCTGTTGTTTTTCTTCAATATTTAAAACTGGAAAATGCTGCTTTAGTGTGACTTTTGAAAAAAATACCCAGACTCCTTGTTTCTTGCAGACACAGATCAATAATTGAACAAAGTCCAAGCAAGTTTACTTTGCGCAGCCCAGCGCAGGCACCTGAGCAGTCACAGCACAGCTACCCCTACAGTTGCTAAATAAGATGGTGTTTGCTCACCAGTAAGCGTGACTAGCGTAGTCCCCATACATTCTCTTCTTCTGGCTCTTGGTGCCTCCAGCCCGTGCCCACCTAACCACTGTTTCGTACAAAGAACAGCATATTTACAGCTTGCCTGCCTGTCCTGCAGGCCTGTGCTGCTCCTGAGTGTTTTCAGACTTCCAGCCATGCTAGGGAGAGGGCAGCACTTCTGCAGCATTTGCTTACACTGCTACTGAAATCACTAGTGTTAACACCACACAGGACAGAAAGTCTACCCTACGTAATGCTCCCTACAGCTACTACTAGCAAGGTTGTTTGGGTTTAAAATAAACAGATTACTCTACCTTGGATTTCCTTGCCCCTTTCTTGCCACCTGTTTTCTTTGATACAGTTTTTTTCTGTGATGGAGACTTTGCCTTCTTTGCTGGAGGTGGAGTGATGATGGCTTCCAGTTTTCCTTTTGATCCCCGCTTCTTTGCCAACAGCTCTGGGTGAATATTGGGTAACACTCCACCACTGGCTATGGTGACTCCTTTCAATAGCTAATAAAAACCAAAAAAGTTGTAGATGACAAATTCCAGCACTTACTCACCAATAAATAGAAAATGGCATTTACTGCAAACTTTGTACAATGCCTTGCGTTTTAACTGGGTTTTGGATGTTTCTCAACATATTATCCTTGAAGGAGAGACATGAAATGTATGAAATGAAGCTGATCACATACTAGATTTTAACTATAAAGGGAATATGTATTTTTCTTGCACATATGCTTGTTACTGTCAGTATCTCTTGGGCTCACACAAGATCTGTTTCTGTGAAGCCATGCAATGAAAACTGTTACCCAGCTACTAGAAAACAGGACAGCCCCAGCCACAGACATCAGGGTTCTGCAGGGCAACCTGTGTGAGAGAGGTGGGGCCCCGAAGTCCATGGTACCGGACTGCAACGGGTACCACGCTGTGGAGAACCTAACACAAGTCCCAATTGCTGAATTTTCTCAAAAGTGCATTTTTAAAACAGACTTTTTTTTTTTTTCTTAGAAAAAGAAACTTCAAATGGAGGGTAACATTTATACAAATCTCTATACCTGGAAGTCTTTCTTCAAAAAAATCTTTATGTAGTTGAAGAAAAGCAGATCAATATTCAAAAGTGTGCAGTTCATTCAAGCCTTTAAAAGCAGAGGTGAAATATATCACGTTCTGTATTTAAAACCACTTTAACCCACTTTTTATACATCTAACTGGGACTAATTCACTATTCAGGAGGATACAAGCAGTGACATCAAAGTCCCTCAGGTACTCCCACCTTCTGATTTGTGTTTACTGCTCCCCAACCACAACTCAGTGAGGCTCCAAGCTTACAACGGGATGATGAATGGAAAGTATTATCAAATTTCAGACAAAGCCAGAAGGAGGTTGGTTTGGGGATATAACTTTTTTTCCCTGCCCCATGATGATACATAGGTTTGGAAAAGTATCTTTTCAGATGTGTTTTTACAGCACCTCATACAATGGTACATTAATCCTAGCCAGTGCCTCTGGCTGACACCACAACACTGTAATAATAATGCCCAATTTTTTTTTTGGCTAAGTTAAAGGCATCTTGAAATCCGCAAAGGACACAGACTTGCAAGAGTTCCAGAGCTCTTAATTCTGTAGTCACAATGACAGACTTCAGTGGGAAGAGGATAGGTCCCACTGAGTCCTAAGCTGCGTAAGGCAGAAAACAAAAACAAAGAAAAGCATCTACAAGATATTCTTCATGTCTATGTAGCATTCATGACAATGCCCCAGTCTAACAGAAGTGGCTTTAATAGGGCAAGCAAATGTCATATTACATCTCCATTGCATTTTTACACGTTTTAAGAGTCCTGAAATACATAATTAAGCTGAGTGCTGTAGCTAGTTAGACGGGCAGTGTGCTAGTGTGTGAATGAACTGCTTCCTGGTGGGCTACTCAGTAAGCAGAGGTCTTGAATTACAATTCAGCTATATGGAAAGACAATTTTAAAAGCCCTAAAGGAAATCCTGGCCCTCACACAGTGGGGTTTTTTCTTACCTGATTTAATTCTTCATCATTTGCTACAGCCAACAGGATGTGTCTAGGAGTGACTCGACCCTTCTTGTTGTCCCTTGCTGCATTTCCAGCCAATTCAAGAATTTCCGCTGAGGAAAAAGTAAGCACCTTTTAATTACACTGTGATCTTCAAGAAAAATCAATGTGTTATTTAGCATCCATGCAAAAAGATACCTGAATTAGAACACATTATTCCTAACTGCTGTAGAGTACCCTCAATAGATATCTAACTCTACATTTATAATTTTCTTTTTATATGTCTAATCATTGAAGGGCAAATGCACACTTCAAGTCCCATGATCTAAATGATATTTACTTTTTTGTCCTCTTAAAGAAGTTCCCCTAGATTCTTGACTTTCCAGCGTTCTTTAGACTACTGTGTGTTCATCTCCTAGGATTCTGCTCCTATCAGGTGACAGAGAACTAGATGTCCAAATACTATGGTTTTCTTCTTCCCTCAAACCTGTCATAAATGTGAGTTTTGGCTTGCATCGCTTTTTTATTACTGGAAAAGATGATATTCTTAGTTTCTCATTTTTAACATTATGGAAGTGTGTAAGCACACATCCAAGTCAGAACACTAAAAATACAAACTCTGCTGCTATGCTGACTTAATGATTTTTTTCCTCTATCTGAGAAGAATTTTCTGTCCAGAAAAAGTAATTGATGAATCACGTTTGTTTACTCCTAATAAATTATCTCCTTAAAAGAAATCTATAGTCCTGACAAAATACATTTATCAGCTGTCCATGTGATGGCTTTTATTGGAATTAGGAAATACTAACTTGCTCCCCTGCAAGGATCTATGAAGTGAAAGGCTAGAGCATTACCTGCTAACTTATCTGTCTTCAACTCAACAAGCCTTAGGCAAAGAATGCAATTAATTACAAGAAAGTCTGGGGAACAATTAAAAAATGACGTAACGTTTATCTGACTTTGTAATTATGTGCTATTGCTGTCTCCATTATACATAACCTTTCATCTCCCTCTGTACAGACTGTGCTTCACTTGCTTTTGGTATATTTCCTTTTGCAAACCTGGTAACTTTTGAAGAAAAAGGAGAAAAAAAGAAAATTGAAATGTCTTTTTTACATCTATTACACACTAATATATTAAAATTTAACGTTAGAATAGGGTATGAGATTGCTTTCACATTTAACAACTGACTATACCATGAAAGCTCTCCTATAAGCTTGCTTTAGAGGCACACAGAACTGAATTAAGACATTAATCTGGAAATGAAAAAGACTAAAATCAAAGCCCACATGACCACATGCCTTTACCATAACACATAGTAAATCTTAAGTAATACTATATAGCACAGACTATGGCTTTTCATTAGACTGAATTTAACATGATACTCCAATTATTTTTCATCGTAAGTCCCATAATAAGCTAGTTATGACACCTACTGGAAAACTTCCAGCTGCTTCTGGATGTTCTACAGTTAAACTTCATCAAGGATTTTGGTAAGCTTTCACTATTTTTGTGTTCTTCAAAGTGCACAATTAACTGTATTACAGGGTGAGATAGAATATTAAGTCTAAGCCCCCAAAAGTAACTCAACATTTCATGTTGACAACAATTGCTTTAATTTATTTTTAAAGAAGGATTAGCAGGGTAAGGTCAACCTGACTATGCTTTCCACACCTCCAAAGAACTCAATTAAGCTGGCATAATCCTTTTCACATACTTCTCAAAAGCCACATCTCAGACATGTGAGGGTTAGCTTGCATTCAGCACTGCATATAGCCGCCTGTTGTGACAGAGGACCTGTATCACCTTCCAAAGGCCAAACTGTGCTCTCTGTTACACCCTGTGCATTCCCACTGACCTCAGTAAGATTCTGTGACACTGTAATAACACCAGCATCTCCATCTTTCTAGATGAGGAATTGTTTTGTTTGTATCTCAGACTTTATTACCAGCTGAAAAGCATGGGGAGGATTTGCCCCAAACAGCAAACTACTTTTTGGTTTGACTCTGTTTCTCCCACCTCCGCTTCTTTACTGCATCAGGCACCGCTAAACAGTTGGGCCGTGTTATTCTCTGCAACTGATCAGCATAACTATGCAGAAAGGTCATTTTGTAACTAAAGAGTCTAAGAAAGTGTTATGCCTGTAAAGCACAGAGGAATGTTTTATTTGTTCCTCATAAAACTAAAATGTCTGCCTTGTACAGTGGAGAACTGTTCTTGTAAGTGCTAAGCCCTCTTCCTTGGACAGGAAACTCATTTTGAAACTACAGTTTTCTAATGGTCCTTTAGGGAAGTTGAGGTACCCCACTTCCTTTTCAGGAACAGAACGCTTTGCACTGGCGTTGAGGACCACAAAAGTGGAGCTTGGGGAGAGGGAGAGAGGAGGAGGACGGCATGAAGGGTGGAATTTTTCTTCTGACCTTCTCAGCTCTCCAATAATAATCAAGTATTGCTTGCACAAGCAGAGACACCCACAGTACACAGAACAGCAAAACACAGCTACGCACACAAGGCTGGTCAAAGGGGGACTCTCCCCTATTCAAAACCAGAAGATTAGAGGTATTCAAGCTGACGCTAATAGAGGCAACAATTTTTTGATTTAGCACTGACAGAGACAAACCTAATCCACACCCAACAGATCAGAGCAATTACAAATGCTAGAAACGAAGACCTTCTGGATCCGGATGGGATCCGGAGTACCTGTCTGGATTTTGCTTGCAGTCAGCTTTACTTTCACATCTGTTTTATGCTACTTTAATTCTAAAGATCAAATTGCATTTCATCCAAGTTTTAAACCAATTTTAAATTAGATGAAAATCTAGCTATAGGAGAGCTGACTCAAATTTCCAAAATAATTGCTCTAGATTTAGGTATGGATCTGGAAAGAGTAGTAGGTGGGAAAAAGTATTTAAAATTGAGATTGGATCTGAATTCTTAGGCCAGACCCATCTTTGGAAATGCCATTCTACCAGGTTCAAAGGTCTGAGTTATTGAAGAGTTGTGTTTCACTAAAGGTAATCTTCTGACGTTGGAAAAAACAGACTTTCAAAAATCAACTCCTGCAACTGAACAGGGTCAAGAGAGAAAGCCTTGTTCTAAGTGTTGCCGCAAAAGAAAGTGTTAAGAGCTTCTATGACATCAGGATTCAGTCAGCTTATATTTATCCAGCCAGAAGACCAAAACAAGAACATTTTACAAAAATGAGGCCTCACAAAAAGGATGTAAGTTGCATAATGTCTATTCCATTCCTTTCATATATTTACTCAAGGCATTTCCCCCCTAGAGAATAATTACACCACCACCACTGAGGCAAAAGGCAGCTATGAGACACACTTTACAGAAGTACTAAACACCAAAATCTCTACTTTTTTTTTAAATGAGGAAAATATACAAGTTATTCAATATTATAAGCTTTTGAGGATATAATCCTTCAATTACTACATATCGAAATCTTAGGTTAATATGAAGAGATACCCTTTATATTTGCATAAATTACTTTTTCTGTGCTTTCAAATAATTTCAAACAAAAAGAGCAAAACAGCATGTATTGCTTTAACTACAGATATAAGAGAATCTAGTGAAAAAAGCTGTGGGAAGTATATAATTAGGGAAGAAAAAAATTAAGTAGGAATGCCGTATCAGCACATGATATATTCATGTATGGACAGCTGCTATATAGCAAGGAAAGGGATGGATATCTTTGGACTCTGACTATAATGTGAACACATCAATTTGATTTCAAAGACATAGTTGTGACCAGTATTTTTTTTTTTCTTTTCAGTTATCTTTAAAGTAAATGGTTAAAGTGGGAAGAAAAACTTAGGAATTTTTCTTTTAAAAATTGGCCTAAATGTAGTTCTCATTTATATCAAATGAAAGAATCCTCTGCAATGTTTAGAAGTAGGCAGATGGATATGGGTAGTGAAAAATGGTCTAAGCCTGTTCTCAACACTTGAACCCAAACTTGTTTTTATAGTTCTGAGGTTTTTAAAAGTTCAGTTAAATATTTTTAAAGGAGAAAACAAAACAGGTTGTATATCATTGTACTTAAGCCTGAGATAAGACCACAGGAAAAGCTAGTCTCAAGGCATTTCCTACTCAAACACAACCAAAAAGTTTTAGAAGTCTCCACATAAACCTCACCCTGAAATTTTCAGAGTTCCTTATCCTTTACTTACAGAGACTGATCTCTGGTTGTCTCTTGGACATCCTACTAAGTTCCCAGTTTCATTATTTGCATTTCCCTGGTTCACAGTGATACTGCTCTGCCTTGAATACAGTTGCTTCGGTATTTCACAACACTTGCAAATTTTGGAACAAGACCTCAACGCAAATTGAACAAAGTTAAAACGAAACAAACTGCTATTAGACATAAACAAAGCTGTCACAGTAGCAACTGCAGACCTGGATGGAAACAAAAGCAAATGCATTCTTCTCACACTCCTGGAGAATGCTCTAGTTAATTTATCCTAAATTTCAAACAAAGTATTACTGGTCATTACTGAATAAAACTCCTTTAAACCTTAAATGACAAGGCCTTCAGTTTACCGCGCATTCTGGCCTGTAATACTTTCTAAATGTGAATAATCAATTCAATCTGGTCTGAGTTCATCATCCCCAAAATGGTTTGGTTTTTGTTGTTTTTTTGTTTGTTTTGTTTTTTTTTGGAGGGGTTTTGGGGGTTTGGTTGTTTTTTTTTTTTTTTGGTTTACATCTCAAGCTAAAACACTGCTGTTGCTTTGATTTCCTTTGTCCACCTTCTCTTCAGGGAGATGAAATCATAGCTTTGAAAATTAAACTCTTAACAACTAACAGGTGATGAGTTGACACAAGGCCAGTTTCTGAACATGCAAGTTCTAACAGGAACAAATCAGGGGTTCTAAAATATTCTGAACCCTCCCCTCAAATGAAAATTGAGAACAATATCCAGAAATCAAAGAAAAATGAATGTTGATACAATTCCACTGAGAAAATATGTATTTGCTATAAAGCCAACTACATGACAAGGAGTCTGTTTATTGTAGTTTAAATTAATCATCCTTCCATCAGCATTTTATTGACTTCAGAATCATTTTACATGATTCTGGAAGGTTTCAACCCAATCAACCCCAAT